ATATGTAAAAAAAAAAAAAATGGGGGGGGGGGGGGGGGAAGGTGCAGTATATATTTTTTGGGAAATGTAAGTAAAACATGGTAGAGAAAAATGCCATTTGGCAAATGGGTTGGTGAATATAGTCAAGCAACCAAGGTAATCCTTGCCTTTGTCTCAGGTAGCAAAATGCTTTGGTCTGGCCTAGGCATATACGTACAGTGGTGCCTTGACTTATTACTATAATCCGTTCCAGAAGATGGACGTAAATGTGGCCTAGGTGTGTACAGTGGTGCTTTGACTTATGACTATAATCCGTTCCAGAAGATGGACGTAACTTGAAATGGTCAGAAGTCGAAGCATGTGTTCTCATAGGAATGCATGGGAACACGATTAATCTGTTCCACCCCTCCAAAAAAAACCCCTCAAAAAATAAAACTAAAACACTGCAAGTCCCATAAGAATGCGCTGGAGCTGCAAAAACAACAACCCCCCAAAATAAAAACAAAAAACAAAAATAAACAGAGCAAGCCCCACGCTGAGACTGCAAAAACACACACCAAAAAACAAACAACACACCACAGAAAGATAACCCCCCCTGCCCAAAACCACTCTGCAAAACCCACCCAGAACAGTTTTTAAAAACCAAAAACTGTCACTTTACCTTACCAGGCAGTTGCCACCTCCAGCACTGGTGACTGCTCGCTGGGGCAGCCACGTCGGGCCTTGGCACGCCTTGCCGCCCTTCACGGGCCAATGCAACTGCTGCTGCTGGGTGAGCAGCAGCCGGCGCCAGTTCTGGAGCTGGAGGCAGTGTCAGGCACCACCAGCAGTGGCGGCATCGGCCTGCGGAGGGCAGCAAGGAGTGTCGAGGGATGCCCCCCGCAGTCTCCCCCCACCACTGCATCCCTTTCCATAACCGTTGGGGTTAAAGAGCTACAAAGAAGCAGCCTCTTTGCCACCAATGGTTAGTACATTTGCATTTCCCACCCTTTTTCCCTGCCTAGTTTTGGTCAAAGTGGAATCTCCGGCCACAAGTCGAAGCAAAATTTTGCCGCCGGAGGTGGTCGTAACTCGAAATGGTCGTAAGTAGGGGCGGTCGTAAGTCAAGGCACCACTGTATTCAGCTTTGCACCACATAGAATAATTCACCTGCACTACCACTGATACCCAACAGGAGGCAGGCAGATCCTCACTTAGATGTCAGGCCTAAATCTGATTGAGAGTCTCAGCTGGATTAGGCTCATGGAATCAATTGCTCAGTGGTAAATTAACTGCTATTTAAATATCACTGATTAAACAGGACTCTCCTCATTGAAATTAGCATCTGGGTTTAGGTTTTGTAGGTCTGTTTCTTGTCAGTAGGAGTCCGTAGAGTTCTGAAGTTGTTGAAGGAAGGGTGATGACTGAGATATGCCTAGGCTTATAGATCCACGGCCTTGCCTTGTTAAAACTCCAAGCAGCCAATCTTGGGTACATGGACAGCATCTGATCCAGCTGCATGCTGTCTAGAGTTCAGCCAGCTTGGCTCTAGCAATGCTTACACATTATGTGTCTTCATTCAGTTCCCTGGGTTGAGGGGAGATCCATGAATATGTTAGCAAGAATAAATTCTCACTGTATGAGAGTGCAGCAGTGATTTTGTGCTGGCACGGCAAATCAACATTTTACAAGGCAATTCTAAAAATAAAGACAGTCCAAACAAAGATTTGTAACTTTTAAAAGTGGACTTCAGATCAGCATCAAATTTGGCCCAGGTGTAGTAATCAGTCTGCTCTTGATTTGTACCAGATCTGGGGAAGTTTGGGCAAAGGTTCAAGTTATGATTTTTTAAAAGTAAAACTGTTTTATTCCCAATGCAGAAACAAGTGACTTTAACTTCCCCAGATTTAAAACAGATCACATAAATTGAAAAGGCCAGTCTTGCTTATCTTGAAAGAGAATGGTTGCTCCCACCCACTTTTTTATTTGGAAGGAATCCAGCTGCAGGGGCTGAAATGCTGATGCTCAAATATGCCTTTCTTAAGGGTAAACCAGTGGTTTTAGTATAAACTCAGTGTTACAAAGTACCGGTAGATACATTGTTGCAGTTTTGTAGCTGGAAATGAAGATGTTTGGACAGCAATGAAAAGTCACAGAAACAGTCAAAAGACAGGTTTTCTTTGAAGAGTTAAAAAAGAGGTTGCTTTAAACTAAGAAAGTAATGGAATAACAGACTTCTAGAAAGGAACATTTTGTCATGTCTCTCCAGGGATTTAGCATACAA